CTGCCATTAATTACAAAATAAGTTAAGGTAACAAATGATCTGAATTGTTGCCAGGTTAATGCAATTTCATCTCGCCTATAGTCATGGCTTCATAACTGCATTTTTGTGCTAAAAACAAATTTTCAAGTCTTTGGTTTTACTATTCACGATTTTCTATCGGACTATGAATATTATATGAAAGCCAGATAGCAATATTACTCCACTACGCTTTCAGAAACTAAGCCAGCGTGTTAAATTTAGTCAACTTAACGCTTATAATTAATTGTTATAATTAGAGAAGATGTGATTGTGCTCACAACAATAGACAAGACAATGTCTTTCTTATCGTTTGCGTTTGCTGATATATTTGCTGAGTATTAATGATATGTATATATTATTTGCTACGAATACAGTCAAAAATTGCTTGTATCTTGCTTCTAAAGTCAAGAATGAAAAATCGAACACCGTCAATCGATGCGGAATATTGCTTAGAATGATTGTGTCAAATTTCATTCCGATCAGACAAGTAATGAAGGAGCCTTAGGGTTTTTTCAAAGAGCGTCGCCTCCTAACAACAACAACAACAACAACAACAACAACAACAACAACAACAACAACAACAACAACAACAACAGCAACAGCAACAGCAACAGCAACAGCAGCAGCAGCAGCAGCAACAACAACAAGATTAGCAGCGAGTGGGGACCAGTTCCTGGTCCAACAATTCCCCCAACCTCCCCCTAATGATCCCAAAATCCCGGCGGGGGGATTCAAGTCTGCGAATCGGTAATTTCCAAACCTAGAGTGTGTACATAATAACTAATGTTATGTTGATGAATTTTGTACAACTATTGAAGAGAAAAATAATCATGTAAAAATCATGTTGTCTCGTTTTCTGTTGTCTCACTTAGTGTTGCGATACAGCTAATTCAATTAGATAGATAGATAGATAAACTTTATTCAAAAACTCATTAATAATTCATGAAGCAATTATCCAATCTTGAGTAAGAAATTAGTCACGTGCATACGTCTTTATACCAGCTAAAGAACACT